CAAAATCACCCAGGGAAAAGGGTCAGGGCCAAAATCATCCAGGGAAAAGGGTCAGAGCCAAAATCACCCAGGGAAAAGGGTCAGGGCCAAAATCATCCGGGTAAAAGGGTCAGGGCCTGCCAGGACAAAGGGTCAGAGCCAAAATCATCCAGGGAAAAGGGTCAGGGCCTGCCAGGACAGAGAGCCAGAGCCAAAATCATCCAGGGAAAAGGGTCAGGGCCAAAATCACCCGGGAAAAGGGTCAGGGCCAAAATCACCCAGGGAAAAGGGTCAGGGCCTGCCAGGACAAAGGGTCAGAGCCAAAATCACCCAGGGAAAAGGGTCAGGGCCAAAATCACCCAGGGAAAAGGGTCAGGGCCTGCCAGGACAAAGGGTCAGGGCCAAAATCATCCGGGGAAAAGGGTCAGGGCCAAAATCATCCAGGGAAAAGGGTCAGGGCCAAAATCACCCAGGGAAAAGGGTCAGGGCCAAAATCATCCAGGGAAAAGGGTCAGGGCCAAAATCACCCAGGGAAAAGGGTCAGGGCCTGCCAGGACAAAGGGTCAGAGCCAAAATCATCCAGGGAAAAGGGTCAGAACCTTCCAGGACAAAAGGTCAGAGCCAAAATCTTCCTGGGACAAAGGGTCAGGGCCCAAATATTGCAAGGACTAAGGGGCAAGGCCAGAAACTTCCAAGGAAAAATGATCCGAGTCTTCCTAGGACAAAGAGACAGAGACAGAATTTCCCAGGAAAAAGGTGGTCGGTGGGATATTGGGAAGAAATTCCTCCCTGTGAGGCCCTGGAATAGAACTCCCAGAAAGCCTCTGGGATTGCCCCATCCCTGGAAGTGCCCAAGGCAAATAATGAGATAAAAATGGGTAAAAAAAAAAGTTAAATAGGGGTAAAATATGTCAAATATGGGTTAAAATATCAAATATGGATAATAAAATATTTAGTAAAATATAAAGTAAAATATTTTAAAACAGGTAAAAGAATCAAATCTGGGTAAAAATCTTCAAGCCCCAGGAATTAAAAGCTGATTTTAGAAAGGGAGATGTAAACAAAGTGGCTGCACTCTGCCTTTTCCTGATGGGAATTTGGGATTTTTGGGAATTCATCCCAGGAAAATGGATGGCAGGGCCCTGTTCTGCCCTGTTCCTCCAAAACCTTTGGAATTTTGCTGCTTCCAGTGGAGAAACAAAATCCCAGTGGGGAAGCACTTTGAATTCAGCCCTGGACACCCCAAAATTCCCAATTTTGGTGCACAAAAAGCTTCTTTTTTCCACAAAAACCCAAGGAAAGGCCGGGAATGCACAAACAACAAAGCCTTGGAGCAGGGAAAAACATTCCCGGGGCTCAGGACAGGCCAAAATTCCAGGTTTGGAATGAAAATTGCAGCTTGGGTGGCTCTGGAGGCTCCCAGGGTAACGTGGGAGCCGGGCTGGGCTGGAATTCCATGGAAACCTTCCCCAGCCACCCATTCCCAGGCGGATTTGGGATCCGAGGGACCAAAAATAGAGAATTCCAAGCCCCATTGCCTGCCTGGGATGAGGGATTTGTGTGCTGGGAGCTGGGGAGGGCTCCAGGGGGGGTTGGGGTGGGGGCAGAATTCCCAGGGTGACACAGGACTCCTGGAGGGAACAGCAGAATTCCCTGGAAATACCGGATTTTAGGAAGAGCTGCTCCAGGTGATCCCTGACCCTTCCTCATCCCTTAATCCCAGAGTTTTGTGAGATTTTAGGGCTTTTTGGCTCAGGAAAAAAACCCAATTTGTGACCCATGGAGAGTTTTCCCACGCATTAATGGAGAGCCCCATTACCCCCATTACCAGCACTCCTTTAAAAACCCTGGAAAAACAAAGGAAAAAACCATCCCACCAAAAAAAAAAAAAAAAAAAAAAAAAAATCCATTATTTCCCCCCTTTAAAGCACGGGAACGCGGCACCGCCCGGAATTCCGGGCCGCTTTCGGGATCCCCTTGGTTTCGCCCTGGGATTCCCGGGGGTTTGGGGTTTTTTGGGATGCTCCCGGGGGTTTGGGGGTTTTTGGGATGCTCCGGGGGTGCTGGCACACCTGAAGAAGCCCTTGCAGCCCTCGCAGGTCATGGCGTTGAAGTGGAAGCCGGTGGCTCGGTCCCCGCAGACCCCGCAGATCCTGGGGACGCTCCGCTCGGGATCCCCGGCGCCATCGGCCAGCGACGTGCTGCAGGCGCCCGGATCCATGGCTGGGAGGGGAAAACGGGGATTCGTCACCAAAGGTCCTGACTTTTCTTTTAATTCCACCCGGTCTGGGACAAAATCGGGCTTTTAGTCCTGAAATCATCCCTAAAATTCAGGATTTTCCCCTTGGATTCCTCCTGATTTGGGCAAAGAAATTTTATTCCCATTGGCATTAAAACCACCCAAAAATTCCAATTTTTGGGATTCTGGAATGCTGGAGAGCTCTGGGATTGGGAGAGGCTCAATTAGGCCTCGCTAATGAGGAAACAACCCCAAAGCTCCTTAAAAATTCCCGGTGCCTCTGGAATATTTTCCTATAATAAAGGAGAAAAAAAGTGCTTTTCTCCCATTCCAAACCCACCTGTTCCCAAATTCCAGCCACGCCTTTAAATCCATTAAATCCCATTAAACTCCCAATTAAATGATTCCCTCTGCTTTGGGGCTGTTTTCCAGGATTCCTGAGGGGGATTTTGGGGCTTTCCCTGGAATTCCCTCAGACAGCATTCCCAGCTCTCCTCTCCCACCGTTCTCAACCAATTCCTGGATTTTCACCTTCATTCCTTTAATTCCTTTGGAATTTTGGGTTTTTTTTGGATTTTCCCAGCCGGGCCTCAGGGCTGGAGGATCCCTTCCCATGTTTGGTGAAGATCCCATGGAATTGCATCCCCAAACCAAGAATTCCCAAACCCCACAGGAGCTGCTGCACGGGGCCATTCCAGAGAAATAAAAATCCCTGGAAAAGCAGGAGAGGGAAGGGGTGAAAGTTTCCCAACGGAATCAGAGCAAAGAGCAGGGACAGATCCAATGCCCCGGGAATTCCAGCTGGGAAAAACGAGCCTGGCAACTCCAGAGCTCCCAGCCCAGGAGGGAACTCTGGGATGAGGAATTTGGAATCCACAGATCCCAGTTTTCTCTCTGTCCCATAAAAAATTGGGAATATTCTGGGTTAAACCCTTGGATTGCCATTCCCTGGGCTCCAAACACATCCAGTGCTCTTTCTAAATGGGAAAATCCAACTGAGCCGAGATTTTCCTGGGATTTTTTCCCCCCCAAAGAAAGATCCCTCCAGCACCACTGTGGTCATTCCATGGAGAAGCTTTCCCCCTTTTCCAAGGACAAACTCAAGAAAATCCAGGAATGGGAATTTTTCCCACAGAATCTTCCCTGGTGTCCCCTGAACCCTTCCTGGATTTCCTCCTCCTACCAAATCTTTCCCTTTGCTCCTTTATTTCCTAATCCCTAATTCTATCCCAAACAAAATCCAGGGAAGGCCGGCAGGCAGAAGCTGCCCCTGCTTGTGGGAAATTCCAGAACTCCTCCGGAGCTTCTCCCTGGATTTCGAAATATTCCCAAACAGGTTCGTGCTCCGCCACCCTCCGGAGAGAGAAAACCACGCCGGGAAAACGCAATTCCCAGGAATTTTCAACATGGATTTCTCTTTTTTAACCATCTCCAGCCTCCCTTGGGGCTTTTTTTGCTCCAGAGGGAGGAAAATTCCAGTGAAACGCTCCCAAAATCTGCCCCAAAAACAGAGAGTGGGAGAGGAAAAGGAATTTTGGGTGGGATGACAGCCCCCTGTGCTGCTCAGTGACCCCACAAAGGCGTCCAGACACCAAACCAGGTGATGGGGAGGGTGACAAGGACGAGCTGGATCCCAAATCCTGGCTTTTCCCACCTGTCTGGGCAAGCCAGGAGGAAAATTCCAACTGATCCCAGCACGTGACGGGACCTGGCCCTGCCCTGCTCCTTCCCTGGCAATTCTCCTGCTGCTGGAGCTGCTCAGAAATTGGGGGGAATTCTGCTTCTGCCCTTCCCGGGAGGAGCTGCAGTATTCCCAGTCCAGTGGAGCAGGAATTGCTCTTCCCAGCTCTTCCTGGGCTGCGAAAAGACCCAAAAATGACTTTTTTTTTTTTTTTTTTTTTTTTTTTTTTATTTTGTGCTGTGAGCAAAGCCCTGCCCTGGACCTGCTCCCCCTCCTCCAGAGATCCCAAATCCCCCCGGGATTCAGGAATCAGATCCCTCCTCACCCTTTTCCATGGGCACAACCATTCCCAGACATTTTGTCCCCAGCCTCCCTGGCTGGAAACGCCACCCCTGGGAGCAGCAGGAAGAGAATTTCTGAGGAATGAAACGGCCCCAAAATCCCAATTTTTGCATCCTGTCCCAGGGGGAAGCGGGGTAGGATGGGGACCACCGTGGGCAGCAGCAGGACACAAATCCAGGTTTTCCCATGGAATTCTTGGAGCATCCCAGCCCCTCAGGAAGGGATTGCAGAGCCCAGGACTCCCTCAGGCACAGGAATTGCACCAGAATGCCAGGAGGAAATGGGGAAAAGACCACAAAATTCCAGAAAAACTGCACTGGGAAGGGCTCTCCCTATAGAAAAATTCCCAGAGCAGAGGTGGAAGGGCAGCACCAGCACCACCTGTGGTGCTGTGGAATAAAATCCCTTTTTTGTGCTGGAAACAGCCCTGAAGGGCCCTGGGAAGGTGTGGAGCCACACAAGTGATTCCCAGCTGTGGCAATTCCCAGGAAATCTGGGATTTGCTGTCCCCTCCCGGGGCCATCCAGGTGAGCCCAAGGGCAGGGGACATGTCCTGGTCTAAAAATAGAGCTGGGCCTTGTCAGGCTCCTGAGCCGGGGATTTCTGGAGATATCCCAGGGATTTTTGGGAGGAGGAATCGATTTTAGGGAACTCTCTGGGGCAGCAGGGAGCCAAACCTCCCATCTCTTCCCTGGGATGTGCCTGGAGGATAAAAAAGGGAATTTCACAGCATTGGAGCTGGAAAAGGAGCTCCAGAGGCCCCAGGTGCCTGTCCACTCCTTTCCCTGGGACAGCCCCTCTGGAAAAGGGAATTCTCATTCCTCAGAAGCTGGACTTGCCCAAGGAGGGAGGAGGAGGAGGAGTGGGAATGATGCAGCAGCCGGAGCTGTTGCAGCCTGGAATTGGGAAATTGGAGCAGCAGCCACGCCTGGGGCATGGAGAAGGTGGGAAAACCCTCAGGAAGTGGCTCAAACTTTTCCAGAGAATAATTAGGAAGGCTTCATGTGCCAAAAAAAAATCCCCTTTTGCACCCAGGTTGGCTCCGGGAAGCAGGAACACGCTCGGGAAGGGCTCCAGGAAAGGAGAATCCCTCCCCAGGAGAAGCCGGAGCAGCTCCTGCCATTCCCGGGAAGGAGAAGACGCCTTTGGATGCCGGGATGAAAATTCCAGGTGTTGTTTTCCACCCTTTTCCGTTTATGGGGGGGGGAAAGGGCGAGGGTTGAGCTGATAAGGGCCGAGATAAGAGAAACGGCCCGAGGAGGAGCTGAGTCAGCAGAGCTGGGGATGGAGCGGCAGCGCCGGGGGTGGCACCGGCGACATCCTGGCACTGCCACCCCCGGCGGGTCTTTGTTCCATTCCCACCGCACTTTAATCTTCATTTCCCTGGAGTTTTGCTCCCCTTGCTTTCCTCGCATTTTCCCTGGATTTTTTGCTCCTCTCGCCCCTCACTTTCCCCATCATCTCCCTGACTTTTAAAAAATTATTTTTAATTCCCAGAACCGTTTCAATTCCCATTCCTCTCCTTTTTAGGCTCCTATTTCCATCCCAGCCCACCTCCAATTTCTCCAATTAGGATTTTCCCTCTCCCAATCTCTGACAATTCCAGAATTTCCCCTCAGGGAGCTCAGGCCAGGCTGGCTCTGCTTTGGCTCGGCCACAAGAAGTTAAAAATTATTCTCTGGAGCAGGATTAGCCATTAAATGGGGAAAAATCTCCCTGGATTTTCCATTTATGCCTCCCTCAACACAGCAGGATTCGGGGAAACAAACCCCAGCTATGATCCCGGGCACGTTTTTACCTGGGAAAAATCTGATTTTTGGGATTTTTGATATTTCTAGGACATCTCAGTCCTGATCTGGTCACGCCCTGGAGATCTGGGGCAGACATCTCTTCATCATCCTCATCATCATCTGCATCATCATGTCCCAGACTTTCCTTGCTCCAGGACTCCAGAGGGAACCCAATCTCACCCTGGCGTTTTTTCACCTTTATTTCAACCAATTTCCACCAGGTCCAGCCCAACACCGGGGCTTTTTAAACTTTCTTTAACTTTACTCACACCATTTTGGCTCCCCTTAGTTTATCCATATTTCCCTGGATTTCTCTCCATTCACCCTTGGGTTTAATCTTAATTTCTCTGGATTTTTTACCCCCTTACTGCCCGATTTCCCTGGATTTAATCTCAGTGTCCTGGGATTCTTGCAGCCCTTGATTTCCGCATCGCTTCCCTGGATTTTTCCTCCCTCTTCCCTGGGTTTAAACCCCAATTTCCCGGGATTTTTGCTCCGCTCACACCTTGCTTTCCCCATCATCTCCCCGGATTTTTGCTGCCTTTGGTTTCCCCGGATTTCTCCCGCTCCCGCCTGGCTTTAAGCGCAGTTTCCCGGGATTTTCGTGGCCCGCCGCGGCCGCGGCTCCTTCCCCGAGCCGGAGGAAGATGAGTCACGGGCGGCTCCGGGGGAGGAGGAGACGCCGCAAAAACGTCGCTTCTCCCGAAATCCTCTTTCCGAGAAAAACACTCAACTTTTCTCAAAGCTCCAGCTTTGAAAAGGAGAGGAAGGAGCGGCTCAGCCGCCTCTGCCAACCCCAAACCGCCCCAAAAACTCTTTTGGGATGCCCAGCGGAGGAGCCCTCAATTCCTGGTGGATAAAAATCCCCCCGTACCTTGATTTTCCTGGGGCTGGCACGGCTCGGGATCCTCCAAAATACGGGAAGGCACTGGGGAATTAAGAAATAAGGTGATTAATGCCGCGCCGAGGGGCTCAGCCCCCCCAAAAACCCCAAAAAACCCCCGAATCGGGACCTTGAACGTGGGTTTAAATGGGGCGCTTAACCACGAGAGCAGCCAGAAAGCCCAAAATCACCTCACAGGAAACGCTAAAATCACCTTACAGGAAACCCTAAAGTCACATTGGCACCCCACGGCAGCCAGGAATTCCCCAGTTTCGAAGGCCCCCCAAAAAGGGGGAGCCCCAGGGAGGGGGGACAGCGGCGCCTTCCCGGGATAAGGGGACGCGCCGGAACACCCCAAAGCTCCCGGAACACCCCAAAGCTCCCGGAACACCCCAAAGCTCCCGGAGCACCCCAAAGCTCCCGGAGCACCCCAAAGCTCCCGGATTTTTGGGGGTGGTCGGGGCTGGGACTGGACAGCCCCGGAGCCCCCGGCCCTAAGGGGGATCCGCATTTTGGCAGGGAAAGCCCCGAGAGCCCCGGGCGAAGGGGGCCGCGGGGAGCCGGGGGGTCTCACGGGGGACCCCCGACCCCTCCCGGGGCACCGGGGGGCTCCGACACGCGCGGGAGCCCCGAGCCAGCACGGGAGCACCGCGAGCGCCAAGCAGGAAGCCCCGGGAGCCTCAACGCCCGCCCCGTGTCGCTGCTGCCGGCGGGGACACCCGGGAGTACCGGGAGTAGCCCGTGCTGGGAGGTGCCCCCGAGCCCCCCGAGCCCCCGCACCGCGGATCCCCCGCATCCCCGAGCCCCCGCACCCCCGAGCCCCCCGAGCCCCCCGAGCCCCGACCCCGGATCCCCCGCCAGCTGCCGCCCCCGGTTC